CAGGTTTTGTGCCGGTGATAGTCGTGTGTTTAAAAATCTTGTTCAATTTGGGAAGCAACAGGGTAGTTGTTGTATTTTTATTCTGTGACTGAATATGAGGTAACTGGGGTTAGTTTCAGAGTTTATGACTAGTTAATTCTTACAGCTATTCTTTATTTCCTGTATATAATCCTTAAATTTTCTATGAATAGTTACCTGGGAATTTTAATCATAGCATCTTGCCTCTCTGTGTGAGTTTTTCTTTTCCATTTTTTTCTGCACATGCTGGCATGGATGTCTAATCCTGTAGCTCCCACAATACAAGCTACCCAAGCTTATCACCACTGGATATCATGTAGTGGCTTCTCTTGGTCTCTTTTTTTGTATGCTCCTGCATCTGATTTAATTATTTACTTTTTCTGCCTGTGATGAAAAATGATGTCTCTGCATCTCTCTCTGTGCATATTAACTCATCCAAATTTCTCATTTTCTTTGAATGGCAATCTTGCCATGCTGCTATTCGTTATATTCTTATTGTGGTTATATGGTTTAATCATCTGTATTACTAGTTGCCCATTGTTTGAGCTATGTAGTATTGCGCTGTTTGCAGGGTTTTGCTGTACCAAAGGAATCTCAGAATAAGGTTGCAGGCTTCACTTTCCACGGGGAAACAGCACAGCTTAGGCATGGAGATGTTGTTATTGCTGCGATCACCAGCTGTACAAATACCTCAAATCCCAGTGTAATGCTTGGAGCTGCACTGGTTGCAAAGAAAGCTTGCGAATTAGGATTGCAGGTTTGTTGTCTCTGAACTTTGTACGACATCAATATGCTTTAACATATGTCAGTATCTACGACATCAATTGCTTTAACATATTATTTGAAATATCCAACCAGCAGATTCGCCCCTTGAGATACTGGGAGGTCAACAAGCACCGTTACAACGTCACTTTTTTGTGCTTTCATGCAATACCTGATTAGGTTTTCTTTTGGGGATTATATAACCAAGCAGTTCGATACATATATAATAGATTAAATCTGTGATGATCACTTCACATTATTGTTTCTCTTTTTGACCAGTAATTGATTGCAGTACTTGTATGGTTGTGAAATTTTAGGTTAAACCGTGGATTAAGACCAGTCTTGCTCCGGGTTCTGGTGTTGTGACAAAGTATTTGCAAAAGAGGTATTATTAAGGATACAATGCGGTGTACAAACCTGCTGCACTGAGTCATACAGATTCAGATGACTTGTGTATCTTGATTCTTGCAGTGGCCTGCAGAAGTATTTGAATCAGCTTGGGTTTCATATTGTTGGGTATGGATGTACCACCTGCATTGGTAATTCAGGGGATATTGATGAAGCTGTTGCGTCTGCTATTACTGAAAATGGTATGAATTTTCTTCTTGGTGGGTCTTTGTCTGGTTGAGGAATCTTTGGGATGCCTAAGGCGTTGAATTTGCAATTTTCCAGATATAGTAGCTGCAGCTGTATTGTCTGGAAATAGAAATTTCGAGGGCCGAGTTCATCCATTGACAAGGGCTAATTACCTTGCTTCTCCCCCTCTTGTTGTTGCCTATGCCCTTGCTGGCACGGTACGTGGCTTGCAACTGAGAGCACACTGTAAAACTCGATCATGTTCTCCAATTTGAACATACTTCTGCAGGTGGACATTGACTTTGACACGGAACCCATTGGGTTGGGTAATGAGGGAAAGAAGATCTTCTTCAAGGATATTTGGCCTACCAGTGAAGAAATAGCAGATGTGAGGGTCATAATGGGTTTAACTATGACCTTACCATATAAACCAAATGATTGCATCGTTATTTATTTATTGTTTTGTTTTCAGGTTGTACAATCAAGTGTGCTTCCTGACATGTTTAGGGCTACATATGATGCAATCACCCAAGGAAATCCCATGTGGAATCAGTTATCTGTACCTTCTGGCACTCTCTATGCATGGGACCATTCCTCAACTTATATTCATGAACCTCCTTATTTTAAAGATATGAGCATGTCTCCCCCAGGTCCTCATGGAGTAAAGGATGCTTACTGTTTACTCAACTGTGGAGACAGCATTACAACTGACCACATCTCCCCTGCCGGGAGCATCCACAAGGATAGTCCCGCTGCCAGATACCTCATGGAACGTGGGGTTGATAGACGAGATTTCAACTCCTATGGAAGTCGTCGTGGCAATGATGAGGTGATGGCGCGGGGCACTTTTGCTAATATTCGCCTTGTTAACAAATTATTGAATGGAGAAGTTGGCCCGAAAACTATTCATATTCCTTCTGGGGAGAAGCTATCCGTTTTTGATGCTGCAATGGTAATACTTCTGAACTCTTACACCATGTAGATTACCGGCCTCTAGTTCCAACGAGACCATCCCCATTAAGAATAATGATGTTATGGTATCACTGATGTCTGGTGGGTGAAATATATTTGGTAGGTAGAGAATACATAAATCATTAGAGTTGATGATTGGATTCATTGAAAGAATATATCTAGGCTTCACAGAGGATGATAACATCACAACAATAGGTGGTGGCAACGGTAAAATATAACTGCAAAATGGTTTGAAACAACTTTGACCAGTATCTGCAGTCATATAAGATTGTTGTAGTTGATTCAGGAGTTTGATACAGCTTCTTGTTTGTTATGTGATTGACCGATTGTCACTTGTCAGATTGAGCCCATTGTAATTGCTGAGTTGTCCACAGAAATCATATTTTACTGTCCGTTTAACCCAAGATATGTATCGTTGAATTGTTTCAAGTTTCTTTCCCTCACAAAATTTGAGTAAATTTATTGCTGCTATTTTTGTGACCTTTCAAAAAAAAATATATTGTCAGAAATACAAGAGCGAGGGGCATGAGACAATCGTTTTGGCTGGGACTGAGTATGGCAGCGGAAGTTCTCGTGATTGGGCTGCAAAGGGACCATTGTTATTGGTACATCCAGGATGCTATTCTGCTCTGACCAATTTCTCTGTTGTTTTGTTTCTTTCCCCGATGGTTCAATTAACTGTTGTCTTTCCCAGGGCGTGAAAGCTGTCATAGCGAAAAGCTTTGAGAGGATTCACCGAAGTAATTTGGTGGGAATGGGTGTCATTCCGCTATGCTTTAAGGCTGGGGAAGATGCCGAGACTCTGGGGTTGACTGGCCATGAACGTTACACCATTAATCTTCCTAGCAGAGTGGATGAAATACGACCTGGTCAAGACGTCACAGTCTTGACTGATAACGGGAAGTCATTTACATGTACCCTGAGATTTGATACAGAGGTAATACTGATTTTTTCTTTTAAAAAAAAAAATTTAGGAAGGTTTCTCTATTATCCTCTAATGGCTCAACCCCTGCTCCTTGACATTCCCCGCCTTCGTGCTGATGTATTGATTACTTTCGCAGGTTGAGCTGGCTTACTTTAACCATGGAGGCATCTTACAATATGTGATCAGGAACTTGATAAGTGCTAGACAATAAATGTGGCAAATCAAGTACGCAGGCCAATTCGCTATCATCTCATTCTAGTTTTGACAATGGGCTGAATATCCTGCACGATTCCATGAATAGTGCCTGCAATATTGCATTGAAAACCAATGGTATTGTATCAAATAAGTGAAGGCATTGGATTTCTACGGTGAGTAGTTGTAATGCCTGTATCCTGTTACAGAAACGATATTCATGTCTCTTCCATCTGTCTTGAATGCCTATTTTTCCGAAGAAGACATCTTCCTCTTTTGGTTTTTAGTTACTGGCAAGTATTTACTTGACTTGATCAAGAAAAAAAAAAAGTAGGGGAAGTCACTATAATAATTCAAAAAAAAAATGATTACCAAAAAAATTTTAGTGACAAGTGACTAGCTTGAAATTTATTATTATTATTTTCTGTATTGAATCTTGTCATTTTCTAGTTATATGATTTTTTTTTCCGCCATTACATTCTTTCTCTGAGATTACACTGATTTTTTCTAAAAAAATATCACATTGTCTTCACGTAGCTATGCGTATAGGATCATGTACAACTTTTGTTACTAATAGCTCTTTTTTTCATCTTGTTTAGTAATAGCTGGGAAATTGTAACATTACTGGTACGAAGCATTATCATGATATCTGGCGCATAACATGAACCTCCTTAAATCCGTTTACAAGACAAACCCTGAGCCATTGTTGAGGAGGGGTCATCATGAATTATTTCATTGTATTGGGAGCTAATTTCTTTCTCCTTTTTTTTTTTTTTGGGTGTGGTGATAAGCTAATTTCTTTCTTTCTTGTTTAATCTGAGCCCATTGTGTTTGGGAGCCGTTCGTGCACATTAATGCCGCAGAGTAATCTACTTCATTGACCAACTTTAAATAGTTTAAAAAAATTAAAAGGTTAATATAATTTTTAGTTCTTAAAATTTGGGTTTATTTTAGTTTTGGTTTCTCAAATTTAAAACTTAGTTTTAGCCCTTAAAATATAATCCATTTTAAAACGTTAATTCCTTTAGGTTTAATGGTATTAAAATCTACTGAATTGTCATAAACGATATTAAAGTGGTGATCTAAACTTACTAGATAATACCTAATTAAATCTTACGTAGATAATTAAAAAAAAATAAAGAGCAAGTTCTCAAATCGTTGTTTAATGTTTTTTCCCCCCTTATTGCTATTCACTACGCTGTATTGGTTCACTACATTGTGTTGAAGTTATTCACTACGCTGTATTTTAAAATATCATACGCCTTATCTACATAAGATTCATTTATGCATCATCTAGTAAGTCTATATAACTACTTAAACATCATATATTAATACTGTTAAATTTTTAATTTGAGGGGCCAAAATCAAAATAGGCCCAAATTTTAAAGACAAAAATTATATTAACCCAAAATTGAATTAAAATTAGTTACTGCTTTTAAATTTTCAAAAATATTCTCAAGAAATTTATTAATTAAAGGTTATTTAATTAGAAGACTGTGTGGCTAATTAGGAAATATTAAAGCAAAGGGCATTTAGGGAAAAAAAATTAATACTCTAGACAAATTAATACCTCAGACTAAGAATTTCATACCAATTACCAAGGACCAGAGAAGGAAGTCCTTTGTAATGAAGGCCTTGAGTTTTTATGGAAACAACGCACATCCATCCTAAACTTTGCCCCGGCAGTGCGAACACTGGAAACGAAACGAGTAAATGGGCAATGGAGAAGACGTTAGAAGTAGAATTTCTAGCAAGGATGCCTTTCGGGAAAAGCTCGCATTACTAGTTTCACCTAGTGCTTTCATACTTTTTCTTCAGCCTCCCTAACGGTTGAAATTATAAATCTGTGCATCAGTTATTAATCGTACAAGCAAAAGGGCTACGGGAAAAATGAGCAACGGTCAACATCGAGAAATAACAGAATGCCGCATCAATTCCTCAACATTTACCACAAGACCCGGCGCATACGCATAACTGCACGGACATCTAGCTCAACTTTTCGATCACTCAATCGGCACATTCATCAAATCCTGCGAAAAAAATCAGTGAACGTGAGACGCGAATCGAAACAACTTGTATGCTACATTTGTTGAATATCAAAAGCTATGAACGATGTTTGTCAAATCAGGATTGCAAGTACGCTGTAATTACAGTTCTGGAAACCATGCAAAGTGTGGAGCAATAAATATTATCCGTTCCAATTCAAGCAATGATGATCGTAAATTAGAATTGAACAATTCGCCCAACAATTTGACCTGCCTCTTACGCATAACAATATTTGGGGCAAAATTTATCCACCCTAAGGCTCACTAAAATCGACCAGTTCCAGCACTTCATACACATGATAGAGCCAGAGAAATTATAATCATCCCTTATCACAGGAAAATTTTGCACCGAATGTAGTATACGCATTTCTTTTAAATTATACAAAACTGTTACTGACAATCTAGCAGCAAAGTCAACAAATAAAAATAATATATTATCAAATGAATTCTGAAGTTTCTCAACTGTAAAATCATATTTTTTAACAGTTTTACGAGGAAGATGCCAAAATTACCTATAGGAATGTGTATTCAAATTTTGTATTCACTGACACGCATCCACTTGGTGCATGACCATTTATTACCCTTAATCACGGGACAACCACCTGAAAAGCATCAATAAAACAAAGCATGTAAAATCATTTATCTATAGAAGTAAATTTTCAAACAAATCAAAAAGCTCGATAACAAAAAGATGGTAGCTAACCATGCAAACTAGAGGGATCTAAAGTTGCATCAGGCTTCATGCTCCAGAAAAGTAGAGCGTCACCCATCTTTGGCTTAATTGAAAGTCCTTTTTTTCCACATTCAGAGAGATCATTCCACCATGGCACAGAGCTAAAGTTGCCCTTGGCAGCTGGGAACACTGTCTCGCCCCCTTCTTCAACATCTGTGCTGTATCATTAAAATACAAAAAGGACACAGCATGATCACCTTTCCTCCCAGTCAGGATGAAATAGCGTCAAGAATTCTTAAGGGGAGGGAATTTCATGCTACTTACAGATACATAAGTACTGTTGCTATACGCTGACCACCATTTTTAGTGTTAAACTCATCAAGAAAGTAGTCATAGTGCGGCTCATACTTTTGTCCGGCTTCATAGTGGAGAACCTGAAGTCCTTCGCCATGCTCTGTATATTGTGAGACATTGCTTAGATAATAGTTGAGATGTATATGATGCAATATGCTATTACTAGCTGAGAATCAAGGCAAAAAAGAACAGTTCAGTACTATTTTTATCACCGAAAAATCAACTTTAATATATCAGAGGAAAAAGTTGATATAAAAACTTCAACTAGGCTGAACTGGCTTCTCAGAAATGAAGTGAAGCTACATCTAATGATGACGCCAGTAACTTAGATAATGACTTTGTAAGTGCAATTATTATTACTATGAATGAGCCATGACTTAATGATTATCACAACAATAACAATTGCATATAATTGTCAACGAGATACAATTTTTAGGTTAGGTGCACTAGACCAGTTAGCATCAACAAGGAATACCATATTTTATCAGCCAATAAAACATAAAATGGAGAGGCTCAAAATACTCACCTACAGGTATGAAAGTAAAATCAGAAATCCTTTTCTCGATATTCCTCACAATCTTATCACGTCCTCTGGGTAGAAAAGTTCCAGAACTTGTACGTACTCTGAATATTAAAGAACATGTAACATTGAGGTTTTCCAACCAAAAAGGGGCAAGTATACGAGGGCAGTCAATAAAACAAAGGACATTGATTTCCAATATACAACTTTCAAACTAACGTATGTGTATATAGAAAAATCTGACCTGCTATCCTTACTCTTTCCAGTTTCGCTGTCAACAACTGTTGACTTCTGCATGCTAGGCTTGGCCAGATTAATTAGGTATTCACATTCCTCCTTTGTCTGCTCATAATAAAACCAACTTAAGTCACCTTCTAACTTTTCAAAAAAGAAAAATAGTTTGGTGACAACACAATCCTAACGACAAAGATGGTGGTAGAGAGAGATTTTCATCAATAATAACTACAAATAATCAGAAGACTCTTACTTCAGAATCCGGATGAAAATTAGGTTGCCAAATTCTTTAAATCCATCCCTATGCATATTTTCATTCACCCAATCCTAGTTGCACTCAATTCTTATACAACAGTCAGTCACCCTATCAGCCGCACTCTTTCTATAGTTTTAAGCATGTTATATGATAAAGCAGTATTCCAAGCACGTGTTTTCATTCGTCATTTGCAATCTTCTACTTCTCTCCCACAGAGCTAAGCTGCATGTGAGTTGAACAGTTCTTTCATCGCTGGCCAATGTCATCCAATTTGAAGAAGTTCTATAAACCTGGTTATAGAATCAATACAGATTAATATCCATGGACCCTATGAAACTAGATTCCAGGCAGCACGAGCATAAGCTTGTTATTTTTTGTTTATTGTGTTTACAAAGTAATCTCTCAATTTGCAATTGATTTAAGAATTTGGATTTTCACGCTCCATCGATCTTCGAATGTAGATAGAGACTGAAGAATAGGAGGACTAGACTTGGACGCAATTCTTACTATCAAGTTCCTCGATTAAAATATGGAAGATGAATACGTTTGAAGTTAAAATATAACAAGTGTACAATCTGATTGGGACCACTCAACTACGCACAAATGACATATTATGCTGTCATCCTTTAAGAAGTAACTTGTCAAATGCTTATTTCCATGCAGAACTCATCCAAATGAGAAAGCAGTTACAGAAATGAAAGATTAGAAGAGCAAATCCACAAAACTCACCAAAAAATTATGATAAACAAAAGCTCTAGGCTCCCATGATATTAGTTCAACCCATTGCTCACTCCTCTCTTTGCCCTCTCTTCTGCTTAGGGGAAAAACAAAAATAGAAAAATTACCAAAACGAAAGGAAAAACCAGACGAATAATTAAAACAAAAACGAAATGAAAGCGACGTACTTATCAAGCGTGCTCCGAACAATGGAATTAAGATCGTTGGCCACGTGCGCATCAAGACGGGAGCTACTGGGAAGAGAGAGGATCCCCAGGGATACAAGAAGGATGAGGAGAAAGGCGAGCAGAAAAGTGAAGAAGAGGATGAGCGTGGAAGAAGAGGATTTGCGAGGAGTCAGGCGAGAGTGCCTGGGCTTTGCCATTGCGGAGCTGGAATGATCGAATTCAGAATCCGATCTGAGGAAACAGAAAAACAGCGCAACAAGAGAAGTGAGAAGTTGGAATTGCAGGGCAAGATCTAAATGAAAGTTGTGAAAATGAACGACTAAACAGGTCAGGGAAGACTTTCGTTTCAGACAGGTAGGAGTAGGCGCGTTTTCTTTTCGCCGAGAAGTCTTCAACTCTCAAGCGCGCTAGGCTGCCAGCTTACATGTCGTCGCCTGATTTTTATTTATTCTTTTTTATTTTTTAAATTGCCAGCCTCCGTCCAATTCAGTTATCTTCCTCCCAGTTCGGCGCACACCTATTCAAGAATTTTAGAAGTTTTTTGTTTAAAAAATAAATTTGGTCTAAAAATTTAAAATCATAAAAATATTTTTTTTACTGTTAAAAATGTTAATAGTTAACACTGCTACAATTTTAAATTTTTAGAGCAAATTAAGTCTAAAAAAACTTTTGAATATTCAACGTTTCTGAGTAAAGATTTTCAGGCCAAATTTGTATTTTAACCCTTCAAGAATAATTAAAAGATAATTTTTACTATAAATCATAATATCATATGTCTAGTACATGATAACAGATTTTGCATAGATTTTTTTTTTGCCTGAATATAAATTTTGCATAGATTAAAATAAGTATAAGAATAAAATAAAATAAAATTTCATTTTTTTCATTTTTAATATAAACAATTCAAATTCATGACAAGCACCCTATTTTTACTCTGAACTTATTTATCATATGCATAATCATTTCATTGGTAAATTATTACAATGATCTTTTATTTAGGGTGTGTTTGGATGAAACCAAACCATGATTTGAAAAATAGCTTCTGGAGAATAGATTCTGGAAAAAATAGATTTTGTGAAAAAGTGATTATGAGAAGTGAGAGTGTTTGGATAGTTGTTATCAGAAGCACTTTTTATATGTACAAATTATTAAAAAAAGCATAAGTTAATATGATAATTACATAAAACATAGATTGTATGATATATTTTAATTTGAAGAAATAAAATTGTTAATAATATATTTTTTACCAACATAATTAATAATACATAAGATAATATAATTAATAAATAATTAATATGTGGATATTTATTTATAAGATATAAGATTAAATATGTTTATAAAAAATTAATTAAGGGGTGTTAAATTCATATTATTGTTGATATTTACTCTAATAAGCACAATCACACTCTCCAATTTGAGTCAGAAGCAGAATGGATTCACTTCTCCCGAAACCATGGTTTTGACCCAAACCATGGTTTCAGATAATTTGTACCTATTTGGGTTGTTTTTTTCCCAAACCATGGTTTGGGTCTCTAAACTATGGTTTGGCCTGCTATCCAAATATAGCCTTAGTTTATTCGTATACTAAATAGTGCACATCTTGTCGTCCTTGTTCACGAAAAAGTATTTATCTTTTTATTTTTTATGAAATACGTTTGAACTTCGAAGTTCAACTTCTATCCTTATCACCTAAACTGGGCTTAGGTGGTGAAATTTTATTATCTATTCAACGCAAATTGTCTTATTCATCACAATAAAGTAGAAAAAAATACAACCACTCACGTATTTGTTCGGACAAAATGTTGGGAAAAAAATATCAATAGAGATTTTATAAACATGTTCTCCTTAATCTCTTTCTAATTAATATATAAATATAAATATCAATCAATAAATCAAGTCACATGTCACCACATGTCTATTATATAACACAATTTATGATGAGTCAAGCTATTTACAATTTATAAATAATAAAATCTGTCGAGTATACTTAATCTAACACCTAGGAAAAAAAATGGTAATGTAATAAACAATTGCAAATGAAGCGGTAGTTGAAGAGTGTTTTTTAGCCAAGGCATGTGACAAGATTCTTAAAATAGTTCATCGCCAAGCTTTTTTCTTTTTTTTACCCTAATTTTTATAAACAGGATAGTTTTATGAAACTTCGATTAAAATAAACTGGCAGAGCAGGTTATTTTCGACAAGTATCGCGCAACTACGCCGACGTCATTTTGCTTCCTCATGAATATAAAAAGACTAGTGGGAGTATACGTCAACCTTCGCCTAATTAAAAAAAAAAAGACTGCCAATTCCATGAATCTGCACGCTTATTGTATATTCGAAAGCCTTTTTTCTCAGGAAAAAAAAAAAAGAGTATTCCATGATCTGTACTTGTCTACATGTCTATAGATGATCAAGGAATCTATTCTCCCCAAAAATTCAAAGATAAAAGACATTGCTGATTAAGTAAAAGAAAAATATATATTTTCTAAAAATTTAAGCGATAACTATGCTCTCGATCTTATCAACAGATATATAGAAGCAATTAATGACATTGAACTTGAAAATGTCTGAGTTTCCGTTCCCATCTGATCATATTTGCACTAAACAATAGCTTCAATGTTAAATAATAATCTCAAAACAGGACACAGGGACAGGGGAGAGAACATAAGATGAAAAGAAAAAAGTCAACAAATCAATGACATTTCAATTTGTTGACATTTCAACACAGTGGGGGGTCTGTTACAATTTACAAATCAGTAGATAAACAGAAGACACAACCTGCAGGGACAAATAGCACAGGGGAAGTAGGATCCCCCACAAGGTTTAAAAGACACCAATGGAGGTGGGATACAGAGGCCTGGGCTTGTAAGACAGACAGTTGGGAATATAAGAAGAGGCTCGCTTCTTAGGAGGTTCCATAGAAGCTATGGCTGGTTGGTTCAAATACGCGTAATTGCTTTTTGTCCACCTGCACACCTCAAAGCATGCCCTGTTACCATTCTTCCCCAAAAATATAAATTGCTATAGGTTGAAGAAAGCATACGTCCACACGGTCCCACCTTTATTCATCAACTAAAATCCAATCATATGCAAATTGAAGCATGGGGAATCTAAGGGACAAAAACAATTCTTTTTATTTTTATCCCCTCCCAACAGTGAACTCGAGCTAGTGTATAGTTTGGAAAGCAGGGGAGGTTTTATGCTTCCATGAATTGAAAAAAATGCAGAGTTGCTCTGGGATCACACATGGCAACGGATAATATTTTACTAAAAAGTCATGAAAGAGTGGGCTTTACTAACCAGTCCTTTATTCCCACGCGCACTTCCTTGTCCATGGAATCATTTTTGCTTTTCTTCTCAAGACCATCGTCCTCAGCTCTCTCGTTCTCCAACGACTCTTGGAAGCTCAGGTAGTCTTGCTCCTGTATTCCAATTTTCATCGAACAGACTTAGTCCCACCACACATAGATAGGGATGTGGAAGAGGAAGAATCATGGATAGAATAAAATGATCAGTTCAACTAAACATCATGAAAATTATCACATACTAAGTAGTGGAAAGAACAACAGAGAAGGGAAAAAAATAAAAAAGAAAAAGATGGAGGGGGTGATGGAACCGTCAGATTGCGTGCTCGGAGTTTAGCGGCCGCTTTAATAGCTGCAAGGAGGTGGTCTTCTTCCTCGATCCGCTTCTGCCTCCAGAACTTGGCAATCTCTCTCTTCGTAACGCTCTCTTCTGCTCTGGGCCTTCTTGAAAACACTGGGAATTTCGGAAGTGGCGGCGGAGGAGGAGGCGGTGGTCTTGGAACAACAACAACCTCCTTCGTCTTTGATTCAACACAGTCGCTTTCTTGCTTTCTTTGCTTCATTCTCTAACACCAACGACGCACGTTATACACTTCGTTGCAACTTTATATCAAGAAAGGATGGCATGTACGGGCATTAATTGCTTCAGAATCCACTCGACCTTGAGCTACCCATCCGACCTACCTTTCCTTCTCTCACTTCCCTCTCTTATACCCGATATTGGACTTAAACTTGACAATTGGAATCTCTAGGTCAACCACAGCATTGTGGCGCGTGAAGGGCAAAAACAACCCCCGAGGAAAAAGAAAAGAAAAGATAATTGACTGATTGTTGTTGCTAATTCTAAGAAAAGTGGCCACTGGTGGTGGATGAACTTCATGCCGCCCTTTTAATCGTGGACCTTCAATGACAAGCAACTTGTGATTAGGATAATGTTCATGCTTACATGGTACAATAATAATAATATATGTCATCTCATTCGTCCTTTCTGGCCCAGCCCTTCAATTTTTATTCAAGGAGTGCGCTATGGGTTTGTAGATGAAGGAAAAGTCATAATATTCCAACAATCAAAAGAGCTCCTCCTAGGCCTTCCCCGGAGGAAAAACCAGAGCCGCCCAATATTAAACAGATGATGATGATTGCGTCGCCTTTACGATTCATTGGAGAAGATTAGGTAGAGATGTTTATATATTCTGAGATGAATAGATTGTATGCACATCATACTCCAATAGGTATCATCTAGCCAATTTGCTGATTAAAAAACAAAATGAGGAAAACAAGAACGACAAGTTTGGGACTGGTCTGCAAGGCCAAAGTCCATATAAAGATACGCTTACCATCACCAATTCAGAATTAACATAATTTCTCTGAAATTTCCCGAAAATGAATTTCAAGTGCTTGTTAGATACTTTAGTTTTTAAAGAAAGTGGACCAGCCTTTACATGTAGCTATGTTTGGATTACATTTTAAAAGCACATTCCACTACCAATTTCTCAATCTCATAAAAGTTACCTCGACTTCAGTGTCAGATCTAAAAAAATTAAAATACATATCGATAACGGTACATCCACATAGGAGGAGGGTGGGGGAGGGGAGTTCACAAAAAAGACAGGTATTGTATGCTCTGTAATCTGTATATGTCCCTGACGCCAATCAGGGAGTCCAGGGCATTTATGATGCATTTGCAAGTGAAGAGAGCCCAGAGTGACATGAAAGTTGAAATCATCCCATGATATGATGATTGGTGAGAGCAAAATGCCATGGTATCTTGCAATCCTGCGCCTGCCGGTCAGTCAAGAATCAGAAAAGGATACCGGTCACTCCTTTTTATTTATTATTAAAAAAATTTCAACAAGCGTCTTAAAATAATTTACTCTAAGATAGTGAGCACTATTAAAAAAACATTTAAGACGGTGGGTGCGCAGAAAAATAGTTTTGATTTTTGAATACGAAATGCCACTGACCGAGTAGGGCGTTGATGCTAGTTATTCGTTCCAAAAATATGGACATTATTTGATGCATTACTATATCCAAGAACAAAAACGTTAGAAATGACATTGTTTTGCCAAATTGACATTAATGACAACCCGAAAAAATGGAGGATCCCCTACTTTGGAAAAGGGCAGGGTTCCCCCCAGCGCCAAATGCAGTAGCATGCCCAGACACTGACGCGTGTAACGCGTTCCTGGGACGAACGGGCAAGCTGAGCTTCAGTGAATCGTCCACTGCCTCAAATCCTGCCGCGCCCAAACCCTCAACTTGCTCACCAGTCGCCAGAGAGGACCACACGAGTCATCCTTTTTTTGTGATCGCGTCTGTGAAACTCGGTCGACATAACTTTATGTGCAGAGAAGGCTTCTTACTCTGCATGATTCTGATTCCATCTATAACTTGAAACACTCTTCTTATTCTAGACTGGTGGATTTACATTGATTTAGTTTTTTGTTCTAATTTTTGCCAGGAGATTTATATAGCACTTTCCTCTACTCGGAAAAGAAAACAGAGAAGGAGGTGCCCCCATTCCGGGGTGGGCGAAACCTGTATGCCCTATGAAGTCTTGTTTGCCGGGGCGGGCATTGCAAAACCACGCCTCACAGTCTCACACCAACACAAAAACTTGGTGGTTCCGTACTATAAAATTTAAATAATACTACGATTTATATAAATCGTATATTATATATGTAGATATATAAATTCTTCTGACAAGGGAAACCGGTTCATTCTGCTGAGTTATGCAGGAAGTATCACTTGTGGAAATTTAACATTCGGAACATGAAATGAAGGTTGAGTCCTGAATCTTCATACAGAAAGATTTCTCTTAGAATAATGCGTCTGAACTTGCGGCAATTTCTCAAAGAAAAACAGTTCAGCTCGGTAATCCACACCTTGTATTAACCATCTGAAGGCCGTATCCAGAACAGGTGGATATACCTACCTGATGGAACCTGCTCTTTAAAATTCCCATCTTCGAAGTAATGTGAAATGGTTCTCTGCCTAAGATTTTTTTTGGGGGGGGAGGGGGGATAATAAACAAACAAATTCTGGTTTTCTTTAAAGCTGTGATTGCGATTCCCATTTCCAAAGAGAATACTGTCAGCCCCCATACTCGTGAATAATCAATCCGTTTCTTCCTCTATGTCTCAACCAACAGTTTCCTTCGGGGCATAACCTTTCAACCAACAGTCAAAGAGAAGCAAAATAATCGAGGATGAAATCATGACATAACCAATATAAATATAAGCTCCTCAAACTTCTCTGCTTCAGTTCGTAAAGTTTCTAGGTGCATCAGACAGATTCCAAAATGAATTCTTGAAATCGTCATAAATTGTTCATTAAAGGAGGATGCGATCATTCAGAAAGTGAAGCCAGGAATCCTCGGCGTACAAGTCACAAAATTTACGAGGCTAATTCTTGATAGCCAGCTGTCCGAAACATAACAACTAAAATTAGAAGCAGCAGAAATCAGTAAGAATTTTTTTTTGTTGGTCTAAATAACATCATTAAGAAAACAGAAATCAGCAAGAATTAAGAACATATTTATTCGGAGGAAAACAGCAAACCATCACCCATATGACTCAAGATGCAAGAACAACTGAAAATTTGTACAATGGAAATGCAAAACTGCCCCACACATATAGGCTGATAGAAAGTTGAAATCATATTATCCAAAACGGGAAACCCGTCTTCGTCTCAAGTTTGAGATGTAATTCGAAGGGCTTTGGTCTTGAAACGATATCTGGGGGCTCTGGGAATCACCTGGCTGGGTCCCATGTGAAATTGGCCGGGACTATCGGTAAGAGGAGGGCCATCGTCATAGACATAACCAACTAAACAGCCACAGCTATTGCACTTGATCTTGGTCCTCTTCCTCTGGATTCCCCAATAATTAACAGTCTCGAAGAAGGGTCTGATCTTGTCCTCCTTCTCGAATCTGAACTTGGTGGTGTCGACCATGGCAAAGGAGGTCGTGCCCTTGTTTCCGGCCTCAAAGTAGAAATCGGGCGGAAATAGGTGAGCAGAGTTGAGATTCAGGTTGGATCCGCATTCCGTACAACTGTAGACGGAAGCCATCGACGAGATTTTTCCGGAAGCGGGGAACAAAAACACAAAAAAGGGAAATAGGCTTTACGTGGAAGTCTAGTGATTAATCGGCCCAATAGAAAAATAACGTCGGGTCGTCCTAAGCCAGACTTGTCAAAACCGCGTCGTTGCGGACCTTTGCCTATGCTTCTGCCGCAGCGAAGGCAGATGTTGTCAAAGATCTTCTAGAAATTACGATCACGTCTGGCATTAAATTCAGGCCCAAACAAATTTCTGTGAAAAAATAAAAATTTGAGTTAAGAGCTACTCCTCCGGTCCTAATTATAAGACCCAATTGACTTATTTGAGGAGATTAAAAAAGTAAGATAAGTTGGTTATTTATAATAAATAAGTGTTGTTATTCCTAAAATATCCTTACTAATTAAGTATATTGGCTAAAACTATCATTATTAGAAGGATTATCTTGGAAAAAAATACATAAATATAAGAGAGAAAATGGATTGGGTCTTATAATTAGGACCAAATAAAAAGTCAAATTGGGTCTTATAATAAGGACCGGAGGAGTATATTAAAAAAAAAAAAAGGATTGTGCATCGTTGTCATGGGACTGGCCGATGAATCTCATCAATTCTTTTTTTTTTTTTTTGACCGGAATCATCAATTCTTTTTTGCAATATTGAATTCTATGCTTTGGTATTCTAATTAATTTCTGTGTATAATTTATGCCGCAATGACTGGGTGCTGGAAGACCCGTTAGTTGGTCGATCTATCAACCTTGCATTTGTTAGGATCTAATTCAACAACACGCGACCTCATGCGCTCATTGAAAAATAGAAAGGAAAACAAAAGTTCAATTCAAACCGATACATGCTTGCGTGTTCAGTTGATGTTAGCTTGACGTGGCATATTGACTCCCCTGGCACATAGCCTCAGAAATACTATCTCCGGGCCTAATTATAAGAGCCAGTTGACTAATTTGAGGAAATTAAGAAAAAAAGCTAAGTTAGTTATTTGTAATAAATAGGTATTGTCTTTTTTAAAATATCCTTACTAATCAAATATATTGACTAAAACTATAATTATTAGAAGGACTATTTTAGAAAAATTAAGTAAATATCAGAGATAAAATGGATTGGGATCTTATATTTAGGACCAACATAAAAGTCAAATGAGATCTTATATTAAGGACCGAAGGTAGTAAGATAGAAAAGGTCCCCCAGACGGCAACGAGAAGGGGATATACAATTAAGTGCATTCGATGATTTTTAGGTTGTGATTGGGAGTCATAATGGACAGCATATGACTCTATAATCATGTACAGTAGCACTCTGTCTGTAATTAGGAAAATTAATTATGATATACTCCTCCGGTTCTTATTATAAGACCCAATTTGACTTTTTATTTGGTCCTAATTATAAGACCCAATCCATTTTGTCTCTTATATTTATGTATTTTTTTCCAAGATAATCCTTCTAATAATGATAGTTTTAGCCAATATACTTAATTAACAAGGATATTTTAGGAATGACAACACTTATTTATTATAAATAACCAACTTAACTTACTTCCTTAATCTCCTCAAATAAGTCAATTGGGTCTTATAATTAGGACCGGAGGAGTACTACTTTCAGTACTTAATATAAAAATTAGTTAATTAATTTGATAATAAGAGTTAGTTGACTAATAATGCATAATACTGTTTCCGATTTTTAATACTCCCTCCGTTCCTTTTTATAAGATACAATTAACTAAATCACATTATTCAAAAAATTAGTTAAAATTAGTTAGGTGCAATAAATATGTAAATGGTGTAACATTTTTGCCAACAATACCCTCATTTATGTGGAAAAAAAATAATGGGTGGGAGAGAGAATGAATGGGAATTAAATACAATTATATGAGTAATATGAGTAATTAAATATGGGTAAAATAGGAAATCAACACACAAAATTTGAGACAACCTATAAGTGTCTCTTATAATAAGGAACATGATATACTTTGCAATTGTCTCTTATAATAAGGAACAGAGAGAGTATAAGATTTAGTTGACTAATTTAAGTATATTAAGAAAGTTAGCTATTTGTAATAAATAGGTGTTGTTTTTTTCATAATACCCTTACTCATCATATGTATTAGCAAGAACTATTATTTAATAAAATATTTAACATGTGCAATTTATATAAGAATTATTTTGAAAAAAAATAGATAAACACAAAAAAACAAAATAAATTGAGATTTTATATTTAAAATCAAATTAAACGTCAAACTAATTATTATATTAAAGAATCAAAATAATATTAGTTAGAATTATTATTTGATATAATATTTAAAATGTATAACTGTCATGAGCATTACTTAAAAACCAATGAATAGATATGAAAGGATGATTGTGTGCATGCATGTCGGTGCTCTCTCGGTCTTGTTATCTCTCCGGTCCTTTGGCGTGGTTCTCTTTTCCCCTCCGCTAGCGGCTTCCGCCGCAAGTCGTCTTTGATTTTTTCCCCCCAAAAATCTCACGGGAATTTTTAAATTGAGGGCATGATGGTCTTTTAAATCTTAAAACTTTGTTTTTTTTTTTTTCCAAATAAAACTTTGACCTCGCTATTTGTCGAGATTTAATTGATTTATTTCAAGTATGTCAATTAAATATTAAAATGAAAATTATATATTTCCATTCTCTTGCCCGTTTTTATTCGCATTTTTCTCTTTCCCATCTCATCTTCATGGCAAGGAAGCTCGTAGTCACCCCTCTTTTTGGTTGCGTTAACACCACCAAGAAATTAGCAGCACAACCAGAAATTCAAACCATTAATTGGTCTTTTCTTAGATGCATTTACTCACAGCTGCGAATTTCATGGTTCCAGTCCACATTATTGCCGTGCTTAGCTTTTATATATCTAGATATTAATTTCATCAGCACGTCGCAGTGTCCGATCTACGGATCTAGTATCAGCGCACTCAAAGAGGGGCAGTCTAATCTTGCCACGTGCCCTCAAATTCATGAGATTTTAGACTTCGAATTTCAGACGGAACCAACGGATGGCAGGTCGTATTGTGCTCTTAATTAGAACGTACTCGTATATGAAGTAAATATTTGATCCCGACAAAATTAGAAAACACTTCCTTTATTCCATCCATAATATGAGAAATACAATCCTCTAGCAGGAAATTTTGTCCAAATTATAAAAAGTTGACAAAGTAATTAATAACAATGTTTTAATTTTATATTATGTTATAACTATGTGGGAGAGAGAGTTTTAAATATAGAAGAGAGAATATATAATTTTTTAATCACATTCTTTAATACTCTTCCACTCCTTAATATAAGATTTAATTTTTGAGTTGGTTTTTGTCTTAAATATAAGACTCATTTCTCATATTTATCAATTTTCTCTAAATTACCCCTGTGAATACTCCTTCAACCATAATCTAGTAGAAGAAGGAGAGGGGATATTAAGGAAGATGATTATAGTGTTTTAGGAAAAATGTGTCACTTTTCTTATAATTAACTAACTTACCTAACTTCTTTAAACTAATCAAATTAGTTAAATGGGTCTTATATTAAGAACCGGAAGAGCAAATTAAAGATAAAATAGGTAATTTTTTTCATTTAAAACATATTTAATAATTTGGCAAACTTTTTTTTAATCTGTAAAAAAAATTAATTAACATCTTATATTACTTCGATCCCAATTATAAGACTTTTTTTTTTACCAGCACGTAAGACCTTATTTATAATATTATAAATTAGAGTGAATATTTATAGGGACAAAAATGCCGTCACCTCAATAACCGCTGTAGTAGGTCCCATCCCCGTGGACATCCGAGCTCCAAATATTAATTTATTGTGCCGGCAAGGGGTGCGCACCACTCCCCACCCCATGATCAATGTCAACCATATTCTTGTTTAATCGCTCCCTATTCCTTTTCTTAAGATATTAATACGTAATTATCTTGGTACTTCTTGCTTCTCCAAAGTTAAAAGACTCCATGCATATTGTTTTGTAGGGTAGCGCGTGGACCATTAATTCCAACGCCAAACAAATCAATTAATTGCTTCCATTTCAATGGAAAAGCTTGCTGAGCTGAAGAGCAAGTTCTTGAAGTTTCTGCCACGACAACCAGTGGCTTCAATTCAGAAACCAAATCTGAGTCCCAGCCGGAGTGTCGCCGGAAACCGGAGCCCAAGCCGCAACGTCTCCATAGTTCCAAAAGAAGCTCGAAGAAAGCTCAGAAGCTCGAGCTTCAGTGCACGAGAGCCGTCATCGCCCAAGGTCTCGTGCATGGGTGAGGTTGAGCAGCTCGTGAAGAAGAAGAAGAAGAAGAGAAAGGCTCGAAAGCATCAGAGTACTGAAAAAGCTGTTAAGAAGGAGAAGACGTTGCTTTGGATTTTCAAGGGAAGTGGTGATCACCAGTGTGAGACCAGTGAAAGGAAAAGTGGGAAAGCTCTTGATTTGGAGTTGGCAGAGAAAGACAAGGCCCAGAACGTCCCTTCGCTGGGTACGATGAAGAAATTTGCGAGCGGTAGAGGAGCCTTATCTGATTTTGACATTAAACTTTCACAACTGTCAGCCGGGTGACTTTGATTTCTTCTTGCAGGCACATGTGTGTCCTGTAATTAACGTTCATGTTGAATCACTTTTGGATTCAATAACTCTTCGGATATTGTAGGATGCGTGGTTTAATTTTCTTCACAGAAATATGTACAGATTATGGATAAGAGTATATTATATCTTTAATATAAAAGTTAGTTAGATATTTAATTTGGTTTTAAATATAAAATTTTAATTTACCTTGTCTTCAATACTATTTATTTGTTTTGCCTTAAACTAATTTCTATGATGGTAGCACGTGTTATTGAGTTACTATTAAGGCACAATTCAAATTATACATAATTAATAAAGACATTTTAGGAAATACAATATTTGTTTATTATAAATAAATAATATAATTAATTTTCTTAATATTATAAATTAATTATTTAATTTTTACATTAAAAAGAAGAGCTTGTACAAATCCATCACATTAGCAGTCTTTTAGTCCTACTTGCATATGGTAGAGAAACTGTATATATATATATATATATATATATATATTCTTTTAGTTTTATTTATAAGTTACTTTCATGTGTTTTATATATATTAAGAAAAATTTTAAACTTCATTGACTTTTATTTAAAATTTAACTTTTGAACTTTATTTGTATTTAATATATATTATACCTCATAAAAAAAAGTCAACATAGTAATAATAAATGGTAAAATTATATACATTCATATGAAAAATTTCTCTCCGTCTTGTAAATAAAATCAAAAACTTTTTTGTCTCTCTGCCTAGTACCAGATGAGTGTGTGTGTGTATCATTTTCTCTTATTAATTTAATTTGTCTGAAAAGAGCATGTTATAACTTGATTAAAATGCAAGCTCTCTAGCTATCTGGCCAATAAGCCTCTACCCGCACGCGCACACAGCCGTGCGTTTGAATGCTTTCTATCGCGTTTAGTAATGTGGGAAAAAATGTACCTTTTCTAATACTTGTTACTTCTAATAAAAGTATTTTAATGGTAAAAAAAAGTAAAAGTATACTAAATTTGTTATCTAAACACAACATTAATTAATGACTCAAAAAGTTATAAATTCAAATGCCGCTATTAATGTAAAATTTTGTCAGTGTAATATGCTTTTGTAAGTGTTCTTTAAAGCTAGCACATGCTCTAATAGTGATGGGTTGGTGAAAGCTAACTCACCCAATTTTTGTTTTATTTAAAAAATGAACAAGAATATATACTAGTATGCGGATAGGCCTGTTTTGCACGCATTTCTCGCCTGAGCTATATATTATTTGCCCCAGCAATAATTGCCTGCGCTATATTATTAAAGAAAAATTAATTTCTATATTATTAAAGAAAAATTAATTTATAAATCCTTATAGTTGTATCAGGTTTTGAATAAGGTTTTTATAAGTTTTTTTTCTTTTTATACACTTGTTATTGTTTACCTAGTTTTAATGTCAATCCTTTTATTATAACGCTATTAATTTCTATGTGATGTGGATTTGACCATCTCCTCCTTCGCTTCTCTTCAGAGCCAGCACTTTCATCTCTCTCTCCACTGTTATCTTCCTTACCTTTTTTTTTTTTGTCTGCATAAGCTTTGCTCTATGTTTCAGATTTATCATTTCTTTCTCCAGCTATAAACAAACCCTCCTCCTTCTCCTCTATTCTTACTAAAAGACAGGCCTTTTTATTATGCAAAAAGCGAAAGCTGTCAAACATCAGGGGAAAAAAAGTGCCACCTGTCTTTGCGGATTACATATTTACATTCTTCAGCTCTCTCTCTCTCACTCTCATGGATGCACCCGTGAATAATGTCAAATCTGCGTTATGTTTGCAGTTTTGCTCTACTTGTTATGCAAAATCCGACTACAATGATGTGCCATATAAGGGATTACGACCTAGGTGTTCTTTTATAACATCTTCGATGACCAACAGACCCAAATTCAATTCAAGTGCCTGTATTGCAATTCATGGATAAAGTTTGTTGGTGGTCTTAGACTCTATGTTTTCAGGATAGTCAAAAACTAACTTTTTTCCTATTGCACTCTGCATTTCCCCAAAACGTCTTCTTCAAAACAAGTTTCTATGATTCAAGGCGCAATCGATTCTCTCAGCAAGAATGGAGGAGAAGGGGGAGGGTCTTTTTACAGCGGGAGAAGGAAATGATAGAGTGAAGCTTATGCAAAAAAAAAAAGAAAAAAAAAAGAAAAGAAAAGAACGATGATAGTGAGGGGAGAGAGAGATGGAAGTTATGACTCTGAAACTGAGCAGAGGACGGGAGAGAGAAGCGAGAGAAGAGATGGCAAAACCTACATCAACTAGAAATTGACAGCGTTATAATAGAAGGATTGACATTGAAATTAGGCAAATAATAAGGAGTACATAAAAGAAAAAAAAATTCCAAAGACCTAATTCAAAACCTGATAAATTATAAAGACTTACAAATTAATTTTTTTATTATTAATTTGCAAATCTTTCCAGGGATCTCAACTGGGTGGTTGTGAGCTGGCCGTAGAGGGGGGCGAGGCAAGCAAAATTTGGAAAATACATTGCTGGGTTTAAGTTGTGTTCAACAATGGAAGTATTTTTTCAAGTATTAATATTTTGTGATGTATTTGATATTCTCAAATATTTTTTTAGTACATCCAGTATTTTTTTAAATGCGTCTATCATTATAAAATATTTTTTTGTGTGTATCCAGAATCAAGACAAGAAAAATATTTCAGGGTGTTAATTACATCTAAAAAATATTTCATGATATTGAATACATCACAAAATATTTTAAAATATTAGATATAACAAAAAGATATTTTAAGATGATGAATGCATCTTAACTTTACATTCTTTCGCCCTTCCCGTATTTGGAGAATACGTTTCTTTGCCCCTACTTCTTGTAAGGGCCTGCAATACAACACTAAGGCTCAAATCATCACTCTTCAGTGAGAATTCGCAAAAAAATATCTGCAGATTATACAAGAAGAAATAATTACACAAAGCCTTTTATTTTTGAAATATTAATATTTTTATTATAAATTTATATGAAAAAAGGACAGTCCATGCGGGATGAAAGAACCTGACGTAATGGATATAGACAACTTAACCTTGGTTTTTTCCACTACATAGTATTATCTTTGTTTCTTAATATAAGACCTAATTAGTTTAATTTTAAAAAATTAAAAAATTATATTATATATTATATGATCTTTCTAAAATATTTATGTATATCATTAGATTATCTATCAATCTATAAGCTAAAAAAGTTAGTTTGAAGAAAAATAAATAATTATAATATTTTTAAAATAATTTATTTAACCTTTTTAATCTCCATAAATTAGACACATGAATCTTATATTAAGAATTGAATGCAGTAATAAAATTTTTGTATCAATAATAAGATTTACAGTACCGTTAAATAAATGACAAATATAATAAAATAAAAACATAAAGTTAAAAGGTGGATAAAATTCATGATAAAAACCTTACGGAGTCATCATTTATTATCATGGGCTGTGAGAGATTTAATATTTCGTAATTGAAATGAATAACTTATTGGTTCATGAAATAAAAGGCAAGAAAAATTATTCTTAACATCCCATCCTTACAAGAACTTAAACTTCCACGTCACCAGCAAAAAACAAAACATATATTAACCCTCATTTTTAATAGGAAAAAATCTTCGAAAAGAAATTTCAAAATTACTAAATTTTAAATCAGAATTGTTTTTTACATTTTTATAGATTTTTTACTACAATTTACTAACAAATAACAACACATTTTTTTAAAAAAATTCTGATTTAGAATTTAATAATTTTCAAGCTTACTTTGTAAGTTTTTTTTTTTATTAATATAAGATTTAACTTATAGTTTAATAAACTGGAAACTAAATCTTATATTAAGAGTTAAGGATAAGGGGTAGCATTTGAAACGTTGATTCTACCCAATTTGAAGCGGGTAAGAAACAGAGAAATCTACCTGTAATCAGAAGTATAAGAACCCATTTAGCAAAAAGATATATTTTGATGGGAGATGGGGGAAGGGAAGAGAAAATTTCTAGCCGCAGAAATGTAGGCAAAATAATGGAAGGCACAATAAGAATTAGAGAAAATAAAATTAAAGTTAAAAAAAAAAAATCAAGTATGAAATGCCAAGTCTACTATTATCTATTAACAAAGCATTCCTTCCGTCTTCTTCCTTATTCATCACCACCGCTCAACATTCAAGAGAAGCAGGGATAAGCTGCATTTATTAGTAAAATTCTCAGAAATAAAAAAATTCCAATATACGATTAGGGTAAAGAGGAAAATGAGAAAGAAATAGAGGGGAGAAATAGATCGCAGATGAGATGGATAGATAGATCAGATAAGAGAAGGGTAAGGGAGATGATCAGAGGAGTGAGGGTTGTTGGAGAGTGGGTGACAGGAGAATGACGCTCCAACCAGAGACGTGGGGCGAACAAGGAGGGTGAGAGTTCAGAGGAGATGGTGGACATTTTCGACTTTTGAGGCCTTTTTCCTTCCAACGCTGGAGCAACTTTTCCTTCGCGGTTAGTGGAGGGAGAGCGTCTTCCCTTGTACATGGGAAGCATGGTTCGACCTACCAGACATGCACACCGATAGAAAATATGCTACTCCTCTGGTCCTAAATGTAAGACCCTTATACACACTAGTATAAGAGTCTTACATTCAGAGTCGGAGGAGTATTTCAATTTCCACTTTCGAAGGCAGATTTTCTGGCTACCCCACGGGCCATGTAAGTTGTGCAGTACAGTCCCCGATGGGGAAAAGTTTTTCTTTGCCCACCTCTATAATCATCGAGGAGTGGTTAACATAGTACAGGAATAACAGTGGCTGGTCTCTGGGTTTGGGTGAGTTTGGTTGTGACCTCTCGTAAAGTTAATATACATTAACTTAACAAATAAAGAGATGAAAAAGTGAAGAATAACGAGTGAATGAGATAAATCATGAGAGTGTACGGTGACAATCTAATTAGGGAGAGAAACTGGAAATATGGATTGGCTTCACCTTTGCAATTATATATATATATATCACCGTTTTTGTTTTGTTTTGCTGGCTTCAGTATCTAAAAGGGAAAATCCTCAAAAAATGATGGTTGAATTTTAAAATTTCAAATCAGTATTGGTTACTATACTCATAAAAAAAAATAACTACATTCAAAAAGCAAATGACAATATATTTTTATAATAATTTATTATTTGGAATTTTGAAATTCAACAATCAATTTTTTGGGATTTTCCCTATCTAAAACTTAAAAAGAAGATAGTGTTTGGATGGAATCAAAATTATTATTTTAAAAATATTTTTACGACATACAAAATAAATATATAAAAGAGTTTGTCTTATTTTACAAAAAAAAATACTTCTAAAAAATATTTTGGATGTTTCTAAATACTCCCAAATGGAAAGCAAACCTCGTATAGTTGGCCCAGGGCGTGTGTCGGGGTATGGCGCGGAAAAAGAAAAACAAAGAAAAGAAACTGAGGTGGATTGGATACGATTCGGTAATATAGATGTGGGGAGCATAGGACGCGAACAAAATGGTTGGGATCGCTAGGAATCCCTTCCAACCTTCAACTCCCCCACACGTGTTTCCTTTTACTGTGGCCCTTCCACCCAATAAAGTTCATTTTCACATTTCGCCTGGCTCAGCCCTCAAAGGATCGCATATTCTCAGTTGCTCGCCGCTGCAAACTCCCACGGCAAATCAAGTCATTTATGCTGTTTTAAGAAATACGGTTAAGGTTAAATAATAATCAGAGGCGAGTGTTCAGTATAGATAGAGAAAAGCAATCAATGCAACTAATTTAGAAATCATTGAAAACTTTCGTTGTTTTAATTACACTTTTATTACTTCACACAGGGGCCCCATAATGCTTATGCTTACTAGCACTCAATGGGGGATACGATGAGAGCATATTTACTTCTTTTTTTTTTTGGGCCCGAGATGAGAGCATATTTACTTGGAATCTCTTCTAATTCGTCATTTCTGCTTTTGTTCTAATGTTTTTGCTCTCATGGGCAAAGCATCCCATCCAAAAACAGACAAAAAAAATTTGAAAACGGGTAGCTTCTCCTCTTCTTATCCATTTTCCCTTGCGGCTCCACGTCGCATCTGTCTGAATCTGTATCCGCTGGATATTTTTTGGGGTGAAACGTCTTTTCTCCCCCTTTTCTTCCAAGTTATTATTATGAGCAATTTATTAATCATTAATTCACGTACAAAGCCCCAAGCAACATTGCCAAAGTTCAATATAATTGAAAAATAACAAACAAATCCAGGGATCGCCTCTGTGGCGCCACTCACAGCCAGCGAGACAGAAGCTCAGTGCAACAAGGAAGCCTCTGGCCAACCCCACGACGGCGACGTCTTTTTCATCCTGACTTAGCTTCAAGCAAGCAACCTTTAGTCATATACTTTGCTTTCGCCTCTTTATTTCCCTTCTCCATTTTCATTACATTCTGAGTACTAAAGAATACTCTTGGCTCGGAATACAGTTCTTGGGACGCAATGGCTGACGACGTTTCCGGCGAGAGGATCTATCTTCACGGAGATTTGGACTTGGACATTATCGAGGCCCGAATGTTGCCCAATATGGACGCTGTGTCTGAGCACTTCCGCCGTTGCGTCACTGGATGCGATACTATCAAATTCCGTTCATCCGATCCCGCTGCTGCAGCGGGCGACCGAGGCCACCGCAAAACTCACCAACATAAAAAAATCATTACCAGCGACCCTTATGTCACGGTTACTGTCCCACAGGCCACTGTTGCCCGTACACGTGTCATAAAGAATTCCCAAAACCCTTGCTGGAACGAGCACTTCAACATCCCCCTGGCACACCCCGTCATAGATTTGGAATTCCGCGTGAAAGATGACGACATTTTTGGTGCGCAACTCGTGGGAACTGTTAAAATTCCGGCGCAGGGGATTGCCTCCGGTGAACGTATTACTGGGTGGTTTCCAATTCTTGGATCCTCCGGTAAGCCACCCAAAAGCGAAACTGCGCTTTATATTGAAATGAAGTTCACGCCAGTTGAGAAGAACCGCTGTATCTTCGCGGCATCGCGAACGATCCCGAGCACAAGGGTGTGAGACACGCGTATTTTCCGTTGCGGAAAGCTAGCTCCGTGAGACTGTACCAAGATGCCCATGTTCCTGAAGGGATGCTACCTAAGATTGAGCTAGAGGGAGGGAAGGTTTATAAGCATGAAAAATGTTGGGAAGATATTTGTTATG